GCATGTTGTTTGTAGAAAGTTTATTGAAACTTCATTCATGGGTGTTGCATTTGAACGCTTCTCTATTGGCAGCACGTGCGAGTCTTGTGGCATTCAAGTCGTGTCAATGGTTTACTTGTCGACTTGTTCATCCAGTATCAACTGCGTGCTACAAAATGATTCTTAAATCTATGATGTTCAACAAAGTGTTTTGGCATGTTGCTGTAGAACACACAGAGTTGTGCTTGTTGGCAAAGTCCTACACAGCATGACGTTGATAAACGTCATTCGAAACTTGCGGACTTCCTGTCATTGGACTTCCATAGGAGAGTACATGCTGGAAGCGTGGTGCCGTTTTGTCATGCCGTGTGGAACGGTGGCCATGAAGAAGGTACCAGCTTCTCGTTTTTGCTATCATGTCTCCTTTTTCGTTGCACATTCATCGATAAAGCATAGATCCCGAATTTTACTAACTGGTTTGGCGAAGTGATCTGCTCCATTTCCAGCAAAACTGTGATAGTTCGATGAGGATCGACCGTTATGCCCGTCGGTGGCATGCTTTGCATAACGATTTCAAAGTTCATGGTGTGTTCCTGGTTTTTTGGTTGACGTGTAAGAGGCTGTGATGGGATGTGGCCTAGCAGTGTTTTTGCATGGAAATTGGGCATAATTGGGCAATGTCACATTGCATGAAAGCCCCGCCAGGTCTAAGTTGCGACATTGGGGCGATTTGTTGGCGGAAAAATGTGGGTAATACACGTTGCGACTTTGGAACATCAATCGGCTCCCGAGACCGCAACCTGCGAAGGGTGTCCATGCATGGCAGTGTTTCCTTCGCCACCTGTGGGCCATCGTGCTCCTCGGCATACCCGAGAGCATTGCTCCTTGTCCTGACATTTCCAGGAAAAATCGTGAGGAGGTTAGCCGTTGCAATAAGTCAAACAATTAAGCCTCCTTTCAATTGTCCGATGCAAAGCAACAAAAATGTAAAGCATCGAACTTTATGCAAATGGTGAAACTTTACGCTTGTAGTGCCAGGCTCACGAGTCATCAAGGTACACTATACCAGGAGCTACAACAGCAAAGCAGTCGAGGCTACAAAGGCGAAGAAAACGGCAAAATGCCTCTTCGCTGGGCTGTCAGGGTTAGGACGGGGTATCGCAAAGTTTCTTGGCATAAACATTGCACAGACGCATGGCAAATGCCATATCGCATGTTGGTGCTTTCGATTTTTAGGACTCTGTGTGAAAGCGGTGAGACGTTCCAAAATCGAACGTAACAACATTTGAGGCACGTCCCACATGTTCTGATTCCTGACCATGCATGTGCTTGGCAGCGGTTGCAATCATACCAGCTGCCGTGGAACAGCACAGAAATTGAAACGAAGCAAGGGGTTGGATGAAGGTCATGTTGGGTATTGTGCATGTTGTTGGTGGGCAACATTGGACAGCAGCAGGACCCCGACGCCGATTTGATTTGTTTTGCCACGAGCTGGACTATGCACGTGATGTAAATCGCACTGTGAATTGACAGTCAGAAGCAATGGGAGTACAACATGCGTGGGTCTTAAGCTGTGAATCAGCAGATTGGTTTGTTGTACTCCACGAAATGTACATACAACGAACTATCAGCACCGAATTTGGTAAAGAAGAGGTGTTGACAGCAACAGTGTTCTGCTGAGATCAAGCATTTTTCGTCAGCGGCGTGCTTGCATTGGTTTGCATCCCAGGATTTTTCAGCCAATGGTTCAGCGGCGGAGTTGGAGATTGCTCGTGTTCACTTCTAAGTTCTAAGGAATGCCATTATGTAGTAATTGTGGTTCAAGCTTGTGCAAGCCAGCCATCAGCAGCTTAGATTCTGTTTTGGTTTCCTGCCAAGTTACTACAGTACAACAGAAGGCCCGTCGTTCTGACTTCTGTGCATGCAGTCTTGCAGGCTTGATGCTTTGTCAGCTGAAAGCCCAACCTTTTCAAGCAAGATTTGTACGGATTCGGAATGGCATCTCGGGACTACACGTGTGGTGCCATGGTTCTCTCATGCTTTCCACACCAAAGTGGGGCATCGCAGGCAGACCTTGCAGATTTACGGAGGTTCTGTGCTGATGCAGGTCTGCATCTTCGGATTGTCGGCTGTGATGTAACTTTGGATATAGCAGCAGCAGCGCTGCAATGGTTTTTTCAAGCACCATACAGCACACACTATTTGTTCGGAATATGCCATGGAAAACCAGACGGCGCGTGGTGTTTAGACAATGGCGACTGTCTGGACTTCGAAAGCGTTTCTGAATGGTGGAAACAGTCAGGCAATCACGGCCACTTGGTTATTGTGAGCGACAGTTGCTACAGTGGCCAGTGGGTGGACAAGGCAGTATCAGCAAAGACTCCGGGCATTTCGGTGCAAGCTTCGTGCGGCCCAGGTTATGAATGCAATGACAGGACTGGTGAGACCTTTACTCACCGATGGTGCGAGGTTCAATGTTTCAAGGATTACACAGATATGCCTCCAATGTTGATGGTGCACGAGCAGCCATGCTTCTACAAATGCCGTCAGGCCCAGCTGCACGGACAGCCAAGCCAAGCCGTGCTAGGGATTGGGCTTTGGCAAGACTTTGAAGGATTTCGAAGTGTTGTCGAAGAAGTCGAAAAAGCCGACCACAAGGAGGTAATACGGACATGCGAGCATGAGTTGTGTATCAAGCATTTGTACGACATCTACACAGGCACCAATCAACATCTTCAAATACAAAAAAAGGCTGGAGAACTGGTGCGAGGCCATCTCCGCAAGCAGCTTGAATGTTCGAAGACCTGTGAAGCTGGGGACGAAAGGCAGACTGTGTGGGCTTTGCACCAGATGTTCAACTTGCAGTTCATCAATGAAATGTTACCCTCCTGGCCACGTGATTCGTGGAACCCTAGTCGCAACTCCACGGATATTGTGTGCATTCCTCAGTTGCCACTTCCTGTTTGTGTTGAGGGCCGGATGCTTGCAATGATGCTGTCGCAGGTTCACTGACCGGCATGACCAATCCCCGTGTTGGATGGCTGGAGAGTGTTTGAAAGAGGTCAGTGTCGCAATGAGTTTTTTCACGATGGTGCTCCTTCATGCAAACGTCCGCCACAACTTGCTGATGGGTGGAATAGTGGTAGTCGTAGTTGAAAGCAAACGAGACTTACTTCAGCTGTTGCTTAATTTGGATCCCGCTTGTTTGCAGACCTAGCGATTGAGGCTGAACTCGTATTTCGCCGACCACGTCCGTTTTGGTGATGCCAAAGCAGCTTTTGAGCATTTCCGATACCAAACCACGCTCGGACGTTGAATCCCTCCTTGCTTCTTTCTGGGTAGGCATGGGTCCAGAGGACGCGCCTCTCGCATCAAATTCAACAAGCACCTAATTAGATTGGAAAGCAGTATGCACTCACAGTCCTTAAGGGCCCGTGGCGCAGAAATCTGCGATGAGAGGCAAAATCGAAAAAGGGATCGCCAGATGAACCCAGCAGCCACTTCCAGGGCTAAAAGCTGTCTGGCCAATCCGAGCGCCTCTCATTTGAAAGCACTGACACACGCAACCAGGCTCGGGAGCGTGGACCCTCCAAAAGCGTGACAACAACAACAGCTGGCCCATGAACGACCACGAAGCCAGCAACAAACCTACAGACGACAACAGGGAGAGCTGATCATCAGACTTCCCTGCGGTCCAGCTTTGAGCATTCCTCCAGGGGCTGGGAGAGGCAAGAACAAAGCTAACATGCCCCACACTTCAAAAGAACTGTGCCCACTCAAGCATTCCCAAATGTGCAGTGACAGCGTGTGCACATCGAAAAAGCAGAGCCGAAAGGTGTAATGTCACATCTGAGGAGGGTCACACGGCCAACTAGTTGGCAGGTGAGAATTGCCAACTTGCTTCGTATATACACATACATATGTCGAGCACTCTTACGTTCCAGCAAGTTCAAGCTACTCAGGGGGCAATCCGGCAATCGGCTCAGCAGTATTCCCCACTGGTGCTCAAGGTAAGCCTTCGCAGCCGTGAAGACCGAGGCATAAGACATCAACATGAAGTGGATGCGCGGGTTGAACGCATAGCCAAACGTCAAACTCTGAAGGCTGCTGCGTAGCTGGCTGCTCTCCAGGCTCCGGTAGAACACATAGCCAAACGTCAAACTCCGAAGGTTGCTGCGTAGTTGGCTGCTCTCCAGGCTCCGGTTGAACGCGTAGCCAAACGTCAAACTCAGAAGGCTGCTGCGTAGCTGGCTGCTCTCCAGGCTCCGGTAGAACGCGTAGCCGGACGTCAAACTCCGCAGGCCGCTCCGGTTGAACGCATAGCCAAACGTCAAACTCCGCAGGCTGCTGCGTAGTTGGCTGCTCTCCAGGCTCTGGTTGAACGCATAGCCAGACGTCAAACTTCCCAGGTTGCTGGGTAGTTGGTTGCTCTCCAGGCACCGGTTAAACGCAAAGCCAGACGTCAAACACCGCAGGTTGCTGGGTAGTTGGCTCCTCTCCATGCTCCGATAGAACGCATAGCCAAACGTCAAACTCCGCAGGTTGCTGGGTAGTTGGCTCCTCTCCATGCTCCGATAGAACGCATAGCCAAACGTCAAACTCCGCAGGTTGCTGGGCAGTTGGCTGCTCTCCAGGCTCCGGTTAAACGCATAGCCAGACGTCAAACCCCGCACGTTGCTGGGTAGTTGGCTGCTCTCTATGCTCCGGTAGAACGCATAGCCAAACGTCAAACTCCGCAGGTTGCTGGGTAGTTGGCTGCTCTCCAGGCTCATGACGTACCGCCTTCCGCTACGCGGCCATGGCATGCGGTACTGGGGCTACCGAGATTCCTCAATGGGCGACTCGAGCCCTCCCTCCTTGCTAGATCGAGTACTAATCGATTCCCCCTCCCCCGAAGCGGAGCACAGATTGACACTCAGTGCCTGAAGGGTGCAGATGTGGAATCAATCCTTGAGTCGGTGTGCCTGTACTATGCAATCAGTATAACTGCTTCGTCAACATTCTCTAATACTCACTGTCAGGTTGAAGATGCTGGAGAAATTCCCGTCGAAGCTGGCCAAACACAACGCGAAGCGAAAGAAAGTTGATCCCAATGGCCACTGCTACCAGGCTGTCTTTGTTGAGGCCCTCACATGTCGCCTGCAAACGAGTACATGGAGAGCCAGCCAACAGGTGGCGACAAGTGGGTACCGACATGATGTAAAGGCATACTGGTACAACTGCTGCCACCAGCTACTCCAGCATATAGTATTCATGCACTATCTGAGCAACTTTGACCCTGTCTTCCAAGACGGGAAGGCTGAGTCCGAATGCCTTTTCTGGCAAATGGTGTTGGACTGTGATATGATCGACTGCATACCGAAGCAGAATGGAGAATGCAGAGATGAAGCGCTGCATCGAGTGCACCGGGACCTCGTTGGACTCCTGGCTCAATTTCTGACGAATCTGCGTATGCGGAGCTTGAAAAGTAGCTGCGACGAGGATTCAGAATGGTGGTTCCAGCAATTCGTCTTGCTTCGGTATCAGTCGTATTGTGCCCAAACCATGCAGGAGTTGATGGAAGTGGAGGAGAAGCTGCAAAGAGAACTTCCTAGCACTTTCGACCCAGCAGAGAAGCAACGTGTTACGTTCACGAAGCTGTTTGCTCGGATCTATTTTTTTGCTATGGCTCCGGCAAGTCTGCCATGCAAGTCTTGTTTATCGCATGCACCGAATCAGGGATGCGAGGATTGTGCACGTTTGGGAGCGGCAGCCGAGGAGTTGAGACAGGTGCTGGCAGATTCGTCCAAACGACTGGAGAAGGTGAAACAAGCCTCAAAAGCCTTACGTGATTTTGCCTGGGAAGTGAACGATCTTGAACGGCAGGCAGGCTGTTCATGGTTTCAGCTGCACATCCGTCTGTTGCATCAAGCCTGCAAGCGCCACTTGCAGCGAGCCCTGCAGCCTGCTGATGTAACTGCCCTTCAGCCTGCAATGGATGTCATAGAAAAGGACATGAAATCTGCTGCAGATCTTCTGGACGTGCCGGAGTTTGCAGGGCAGCCGAACCCACCCGTGGTAGTACTGCACCTTTGAAGCAAGGTTTGTTGTACAGCACGATGTCGCAGGACTGCATGCATCATTGACAAGAGCCCCCTCTAGTAGTGGGCCGGTCGCTCTTCGTGATTGCCGAGAAAGGTTGGAGAGCCGGGAGTTAGCTGGACTCCACACGAACATATCTGTCTTGCTTCCGTTAATTTTTCAGTTCTTGTCTAGCATGATTAGCTGGTAGATTCTAGTTTGGCAGAGATGCCCTGCCACTGGTGTCAGCAACAGCTGTTTCGTAGGCTGGACTTGTGTGGTAACGTCTGTAGCTCGGGCTCATGCCAGGTATGGGCAACGCAGTTATACAGTCATGAAGGAATGTTGTTTCGGTGGAGCTTGCAATCTCTGTTTGATGGAGTTCTGCATTAGTAGCTGATAGCTCGTTTCAGTGGTGTAGTGTGCTGTGAACTGGTTCGACTATTCTTCAGGCTGCGCAGGCCACACAGGCTGCGCACAGCCTGAACATTGGAGCTTGTAGATGGCGTTCATGACTGCCTCAGCTGGCGCATTGCTCCTGCATTCTCGAGACATGGTGTATGCACATGACGACAGTCATCAGCTTGTTGATTTTCTGGAAGCGTACAGCTTCGGTCGCCGAACAATTCTCAAGCTTGAGGAGAAGAAGGATCTGGTGGAGGCCGTTCACACTTTTTTCCGAGAGGAGCACGAGTTGTTCATGTTGCATTTGATCTTTCATGGACATTCCCATCATGGTGCGTGGCTCGACTCCGCCGGCAATTCTTTCTGTTTGAGTGATGTTCTCAGGTTGTGGCATTTGACCACAAATTCGAGAGATGCAAAGAAGTGTCTCTTGATCATCCTTGACAGTTGCCATAGTGGATACTGGGTGCATGAGCTGGCCGAGAATCATCGTTGTCTAGGAAACGTGTGCATTCAAGCGGCCGCCGGGAAGTTCCGGACTACCGCTGATGATTTGCACAGCTTTACTTTTCTGTGGGTGTTTCTACATTTGCCGGAGGAATACTGTAGTGAGGAAGGCCTGGACGGCTCTTTAGCGCGTCAACCTTACCTGGAAGAATGTCAGCCCTGCTACATCAGAGGCCAGTGTTGCCAAACAGTGTGCTTGAATGGAAGGGAGATCCAGTTCTTGGGTGAGGAGGTGACCTGCTCCAACCACCAAAGCAATCTCTGTGACCTCCTGGTGCCGCTGACGGGGGAAGTTGACGACCTGTTTGCGCTGAAAGATTGCAAGCTTTATTTTCAGCAGATTCAAATAGACATATGGGAGCACAGAGGTTCCAAGCAAGATATTATCGACCGACAGAACAGGAAGCTTGCAAAAATTGGTTCGCAAGCGAAAGGAAAAGCTTTTGTTCCTGCTCTTGAGGAACTGACCGCGATGCTCAACATTTCTGATCTGGATCCCCTTCTAAGTGGGTGTCTTGCGCAAGAGCTACCTGCGGCTGTGCTTGCACCCCAGTTCCAGCCTTACGTTTTTTCGTCAGCTGGCAATGCAGTGTGCCAGTGTGCTACAGTGCCTTCGCAGCAGCGTGTTTGCTCAGGTTTGACAAGCTCAACGACTACAAGCTGTCACGATCGTACGAAAGGAGGAAGGCACACCTTCGCCAGAATATGTTCCAAGAGCTGGAGCTGCTGGAAGAGCCTGATCATTTCCACATACTGGAATTGTTGAGGTGCTGTTGGAAGTGCCAGCTTTCTTTGTGTTACCTGTGTGACACCGAAGACAGGAAGCTCGGGTATCGTGAATGCTTGAAGCAGCTTCAAGAGATGTTGAACCTGACGTCACATCATGTAGGAGCAGTCGCAAGACTGGAAGTGCTGGATGCACTAGCGTTGTACATTGAGACCATGCTGAACTCGGATGAACTGATCGATCTGGAAAAGCTAGCGGGGGAAGACCTCCAGACTGCCCGTGCGCGAATGCATCGGGAGCTTGCCGGGATCTATGACCAGCTTGAAGTAGGTATGCGTGATGTGCAGTTTCAATACAAGCTCTGTGAATATGGAACTAAGTCGTTGCAACACCGAGCTGCTTGTTGTGAAGCATCAGAATTTCACGAAATCGAGAAGAGCTTCAACACATTGCTTCGCGACGTTGAAGACTTGCTATCTTGTCACCAACCCGAAGACGGATGGCAAGCTGGCGTCACCGTGCGCATTGGCTTAGTTGAAGTCTATGCCACATGGAAAGGTAATCCTGAGTATGCAAAGAAACACACTCAGGAGAAAAGCAAACTTCTGCAAGATTGGCACTCACGGCCAGATGTCTGGAGTAAACGCAAGATGCCGTTCTGGCTTGAGAGCTTTACGTCCTTAACGCTAACAGAGCGGCGTGAGTGGCAAGCCAAAGCCGGCGGCTGACCGCAGCTGCAACAGGCTGACAGGCAGAGCACCAGGCATCGCAAGTGACGCTGGCATGCTGTGCCAAAAGTGCTTTGCAGGATGCTCGAGCCTCAATTTGCTGTCTTGCAGATGCACTTAGCTGCGCACAAGTACATTCCACCTCCATGCCTAAGTATCAGACCCGGATCCAAGAGAATATCACGTGTAGAAAGGACCTCCCCTCTCTCTCTCTCTCTGTCTCTCTCTCTCTCTCTGTCTCTCTCTCTCTCTCTGTGTCTGTCTTTCTCTCTCTTTCTCTCTCTGGCTTCCTTCCTCGGAGCTACTGTCGCGGCGCATTGACTGCACAACTCAAGCTTGTCTGGTATGTGTGCCTTCCATTGTTCAGTGTCATGCAAGGGGCGGGCTGACATGAGCTGCGGCTGAATGTTGACGAGCTTAGCGTGGGCTCAAACAAGGCTGAACCACAAAACGCCATCTTGTTGGCAATGAGGCAAGGGTATGTGCGCACATGGGTTGCAAAGTGGATCCATACTCGGGTTGCGAACTCTGAGGATTCAACGGCTACTGGCCAATCTGATGAGTTCATTGGATTTATGTGAGCTTCTTGTTGACTTTCTGAGTCGTGTGGCTGACGCCATGGGCGTAGCGTCAAGAATCAACATCTGCAGACTGGCTGATGCTGCGAAGCCTTCGACTGAGCCTTGGTGGTGGCGCCCTGGCAGACCTGCTCGTCGGCACCGCCAAAGCATCAGGCCGGATCGTTTGAGGCAGAGCTCCGGACCAACAAGTAAAACGAAGCAGACCAAGAAGAAAGATGCAAACAAGTGTGTATGTGTGTCTGTGTGTGTGACAGCCATAAAAGAACGTAGCTGGGTTTTGGAGGCAGGTGGACGAGATGGAGAGGAGCAGATAGAGGTACGTGCCCAAATCATGTGGCTCTTCCCCAAAGCTTGCAGTAGTGGTTCTCACCGTCGAGAGTCGAGAGTTTTTAGGAGGCAAGGCTGCTGCCCTTCCGAAACTGCGTTTTTATGGGCGAAACAGATGTGATTGTTTTTTTCCGCACGTCATGCGATGGTGGTCCGAGAAAATGGATCGCCTTTGGGCATGCTGCAAGGTCCTGACCTCCGTCCTGACGGGCACGGGCCTCATCGTCACGCATCGCCTGTGTCTTGAGGGTGGCACCCACATGCCTGCGTGGAGATTGCTATCACAAAGTGTGCATGGAGGTCATGTCTGCCTAGGTGCAGGTGTCGAGTTCTCCGCACCCACCAGAGATGCGAAGCTTTCTCGGTTTATGCCAGGGCGGCATTTCGAACCTGTCGGTGATCCGCAGTGCCCAAAGCTGCCACAGCCATGGATCGGTAGGAGCCCAACTTGGGGGCAGCAGATTGCTTCTGACAGGGTCTTTGCCATCTCATCCGTTTCGGCAGCATGCGATAGCGTCCTCGACGCTCTGCCTTCGTCTGACCAGGCCTGTGTGGAGCTGAGCCCCTTTGGGCTGCGGCAGCTTGAGATAGCTTTCAATAGCCTTCTTGAAGCTGTGCGCCTTCTTCCAGTCACAGTATGCACCCATCATGCTGCAGTGGCAGATGCACAAAAGCCACGGTTGCATAGGAGTGGCCATGTGCGGCCTCAGAGCACTGCCAGCACCTCTGCCTGATGCATGCACCGCCCAGACGGTATCCCAGAGTTCTGAGCACTGGTTTCTGCCGTGCATGGAATTCTGAACATGCAAGTCACAAGTGTTAGGGTCTGCGCACTTCGCGTCCTGGTGCGAGCACGGCGGGGTGACAGGCAATGGTTGAGTGTGACGCGTCCTTGTTAGTTGGCACTGTGAGTCTGAAGGCCTCTTGCCTGCTGGCTTCAAGCCTCCTCCATCCAGCCGTGTTGCCTACAGTCTCTCCGCAGAGGAGGATCCGCACATTGACATGCTGCCGAAGGTCTTGACAATCTGGAAACTTCCAGAATCTGCAGACCCTCCACTTGCGAGGCAGTGGCTCTTCATTCTGGCTGTAATTTGCTAATCTGCCAGGCCGCAAGGCAGGTGAGATGTCCGGAAATGCCACCTGCAGGGTCGAACCCCACGGATCCTCGTGTGGCCATCCCCCCGGCAAGGGACATGGTTGCCGCCAGGCTGGATCACAGTCCTAGTATGCTTAGTGTGGTCCGATTCGCAGTCCGTTTTGCACGCCAGGCGCGCCGAAGCCGACGTAGGTAGAAACGGCATGTCGGGTTCTTGGCTGCTTCAGGAGCCCCCCGTGCTTGCAGAAGGTTTCACGTTTGTTGTGTTGACTCGGAAGCCAGCATGTGCGTCCTTCCGACGGTCGAGACGTCCCGCATTTGTGTTGCTTGCGCAAGGCAGAATCTTGTTTGCTACAACTGGTCTGGAGAGACGCTGCTCCCTTGCAGTTTCCATAGTAGTAGTTAGTCCTCTTCTTCTGTCAATAAGCACGGGCTGGCACATGTGCTGGTGCAGCAGTCGAGCCGGCTGTTTGAGCTCGTTGTTTCGGCTTCGTGTCCATCAGCCTCCTTCAGTTTGCCTGCTCGGCCTAGCTGGCAGAAGCATGCGATACCACAGCCTCTCCGGGCATTTCCGAACAAAAGTGCGCTTGCATCGCTCGCCGTGTGCACTCACTGTCCGTGCAACCTGCAAGCCTTGAAGTTTGTGGGCAAACTGCGGGATAGAGTTGTTCATCTCATCTCAGGTGTCAAGAGCCCGTGCATTGCACAGAAGCCAGTCTCTTGACCACTTGAGCACAGGTGCCGCCGCTGTCCCTGCTACTGCCATCATGTGACTTCGTTCGTTGGCGCGCCCAGACGCAGCCTCGAGCGCCTGCATGCGGCCCCACAGCTCAGCTTATGCAAAGCATGCCCTCGTCCACGCCGGAGGTGCCGGCGGAGGATCTGGCGTGTCAGCACAGCACAGCACACTTCGTATACCTGGAAGACATCGGTCGAGTTTGTGCTAAATGCCGGCCCTGTAGCTGCAGATCTTTCTCGGGTGGGTGGGAACGGGTGGGACTTAAGTTGGCGCAGGACTGCGACGGCATATGATTCTTACTTGTACTTGGATGTCCCCAGCTTTGCACACAGCTACTCAGCTACTCCCCGGCCCCCGACCTCCGCCGGTGTTCGCTTGCTTCAGTTGATGGTGCATCGGCACCTTTTTGCCGGCTGATACTCGCACAAAAAAGTGTCGTCGTTGTTCGGACCTAGTTTGTGCCTTTTGTACACTACCGTTGATACGCTGTCCCCTCATGCGATGTGTGGCTTGTTCGAGAATCATGCGAATGAGTCACACGTGTTCAGCTGACTACTGTGGCTGTTCAGTTCCAAACTTCAGGTTTGGTCGGAATGTTGCCGTTGGAGCTCAGCCTGCGTTCGGTCCAGTTCGGTTGCGGTAGCTTGAGATAGCCTTCAAGAGCCTTCTTCAAGCTGCGTGCCTGCTTCCAGTCACAGGATGATCCATGATGCTGCAGTGGCAGGTGCACCAAAGCCACGGTTGCATAGGAGTGGCCATGTGTGGCCGTAGAGCACTGCAAGCACCTCAGCCTAACGCATGCAACATCCACTTTGCATCCCAGAGTTCTTAGCACTGGTTACTAGCAAGGCCCTAAAGCGAGCCAGGAATGCTGAGTATGCAAGTCACAAGTGTTAGGGTCTGCCGCACTTCGCGTCCTGGTGCGAGCACGGCGGGGTGACAGGCAATGGTTGAGTGTGACGCGTCCTTGTTAGTTGGCACTGTGAGTCTGAAGGCCTCTTGCCTGCTGGCTTCAAGCCTCCTCCATCCAGCCGTGTTGCATACAGTCTCTCCGCAGAGGAGGATCCGCACATTGACATGCTGCCGAAGGTCTTGACAATCTGGAAACTTCCAGAATCTGCAGACCCTCCACTTGCGAGGCAGTGGCTCTTCATTCTGGCGGTAATTTTGCTAATTTGCCAGGCCGCAAGGCAGGTGAGATGTCCGGCAATGCCACCTGCAGTGTCGAACCGCACGGATCCTCGTGTGGCCATCCCCCCGGCAAGGGACATGGTTGCCGCCAGGCTGGATCACAGTCCGGAGAGACGCTGCTCCCTTGCAGTTTCCATAGTAGTAGTTAGTCCTCTTCTTCTGTCAAGAAGCACGGGCTGGCGCATGTGCTGGTGCAGCAGTCGAGCCGGCTGTTTGAGCTCGTTGTTTCGGCTTCTTGTCCATCAGCCTCCTTCAGTTTGCCTGCTCGGCCTAGCTGGCAGAAGCATGCGATACCACAGCCTCTCCGGGCATGTCCGAACAAAAGTGCGCTTGCATCGCTCGCCGTGTGCACTCACTGTCCGTGTAACCTGCAAGCCTTGAAGTTTGTGGGCAAACTGCGGGATAGAGTTGTTCATCTCATCTCAGGTGTCAAGAGCCCGTGCATTGCACAGAAGCCTTGACCACTTTGGCACAGGTGCCGCCGCTGTCCCTGCTACTGCCGTCATGTGACTTCGTTCGTTGGCGCGCCTAGACGCAGCCTCGAGCGCCTGCGTGCGGCCCCACAGCTCAGCTTATGCAAAGCATGCCCTGAGGTGCCGGCGGAGGATCTGGCGTGTCAGCACAGCACCCGCAAGACTTCATTTTTCTGCGAAATGCTGTCCCCGTAGCTGCACATCACAGATGCACGACATCCGATGCCAGAGCTGATCCACAATGCGTTGTCGACAACCCTGAGATAGCCTCCATTCTGATTCTCTCCTTCTCGGGTTGCTGCTGCCGCTGCTGCTGCAACTGAAGGGTTGCAAGGCGCAGCTCGACACTTGCTTGCAGCTTCCAAGAAGGCAGGCATGTTGGGCGTCGCAGGTATCCTCAGCGGCACCTGTTTTCGTCGCGTTGCAAAGACTCTCGTCTGGAAGAACCTTTACCAGACCGAAGCTGCACACAGCGCCTAAGAAGCTATATGCGGAACTTGCAGACAGAGTCCCGCGCCAAACTTGTCGGTGGCTTCAGATGCCCCCACACGTTTTGGGTGTTGCAGCGATGTTGCCACTAGCTGTCACTAGCTCTTGAATAAGGATTGATGCTTTGTTTGGTGCGTCTGGATCTGCCTAGCGGTCAACACTTTCTTTCTGGATTTTCATTCTCAGCTTTATATGCCCACGAGCGGTTGCGGTTGCCATCTGCAGCAGCGCAACTGAAGGAGTACTGCCATAATTCAATTTGCAAGTGCCATCCACCGTTCCACAAACAATGGCAATGAAGCGGCTTTGACACTGCTTTTGCCTTTGAAGACAGCGGCTTCTGCGATTGAAGGAGTTGCCTCGAGGTTTCTGTCCAGACCAGGGTGGAGAATGTGACAACCGCAATCAACCAGCCAGATTTGCTGTTCTAGCAGTACAATGGCCACATCGGAGGACTGACTGTGACGTTATTGAGTCGCTGCATCCGGCAACCGCCAACGGCTGATTCAGCATCACTCGGTGTAGATGTTCCATTTTCTCCCACAGCTGCTTGGTGTCAATTGTGCCAGGACACTGGGATTTGATGTTGGTGGCTGCTGGAAGCTGAGCTTTGGGTCTTCACCAGTGTTTTAGACGGCGACGACAACGACGGCCCTGACGAAGGCGACGACCCTGGCCACACGACCGGCGACGAAGACTATCACCTTGAAATTTCGAACTATATTCTCCGATCGCCGGTGCAGCCAAGACAGCAGCAACAACTACTGCCAGTACTGCTGATACTGCCACTAAGAGGAGGACTGCGACTACTACTACTACTACTACTACTACTACTACTACTACGACTACTACTAGCCACCCCCCCCCCCTCCCAACTACACTTGTTCCATCCGGGCTGGGCAGCGGTAGCTGCTAGGCGCCTTAACTGCGATAGTTGCAGAAGATGCACGGCTCAGGCTCCTTATCTGTGACAGCTGCAGAAGTTGCAGAGGCTCAGTTTCCTTAACTGTCACAGCCGGTGAAGTTGCAGGGGCTCAGGCCCCAAAACTGAGACAGCAGCTGGAGTTGCAAGCTCGACGGGGAAGAAACTGATAAACCCCAGGTGGTCGGATAGTACGAAAACGCTGTAAATACCGTGCAAAACCCAGGTGCTGCCAAGAAGGGTTTAACATTTCTAAAACCTGAAGCGCAACATCTTCTAAACATCAGGAGCAAAGATGCCAGCTGTACGTGGGAGGGGCTCGCCAACACCCCTACCGCCCAACCTCTGCGTAGGAGGGTCTGTTTTTGAAGTGGTGTGTGTGGTGTGTGCGCGCTTGAGTGTGGAAATATTGTTCAGGGTGTCCGCAAAACAGTGTTGTGATCATCCCCGAAGATGCTTTCCTCCACCCAATTTCGAGCTTTTTGCAAACAGTTCCAAACAGCAAAGTTTAATACGCATAGTCGAGAAGTAGGGGCTCAGAATATGTAACAAAGTCTGACATCACGAAAGTACCGTAAATACCGAGTGAAACGGCTCTTGTGGTGATACTGCTGGGTGTGTTTGCGTAACACTGTCGTCATCATCCCCCCTCCACCCCCCCACCCACCCCCAGAAGCAAGTCCAAAATCAAGAGCCCGAGTTTGCAAACTCGACAAGTCGATTTTTAGGCCTTTTAGGATGATCGCACATGACGAAAGTGCCGTAAATACCGAGTAAAATGGATGTTGTCTTTAACATGGTTGAGAGCAAGTGTAGTTGGTAGG